AAAACAAGTGTGTGATTGAGTATTTTGATTCCGAGAGAGACATCTCGTCAAGTAGTGTTAACGGAGAAGAAAAGAGAAACGCAAAGAAATTAAAGATGGATTACGAATGCTGCTTCCGTACGCCAGGTGGTAAAAGCATCAAGGTGTTCAAGGACAACATCTGCGATCGTAACGTGGATGTTATTGTTAATTCAGCCAACAAAAATCTCAAGCACAACTCGACTGGTGTCGCAAAAGCTATACTTGATGCTGGTGGAGAAGCCATCCAGGAAGAATGTGACGGATTTATCGTCGAACTAGGTTCCATTTTGGAAGGTCAAGTTGTCACTACGACTGCTGGAAAGTTGCCTTTCAAGAAAGTCATTCATGCAGTGGGGCCATTTTGGAGAAAGGAAGCAGCGCGAGAAAAGTCAATGGGAAAAACTCCAAAGGAGGAAAGGGTCCTTCGCTATGCAGTTACTAATGCCTTGGATGCTGCAAAACACTTCAGATCAATAGCCTTCCCTGCTTTAAGCACAGGAGCCTATGAATTTCCACGTGACCTGTGCGCAAACATTATGATCGACACAACACTGGAGTTTTTTGAAGAAAATCCACGCTGCCAGTTTTCCGAAATTCAGTTTACCAGCACTGACGATGCAGTTGTCAAAGCTTTTGTTACCGAGATGACAACTAGGTTTAGGGAAGATTCCAATTTTGAACATTCTTCGAAAGGGAAAGTCGCATCAGAAGGAAGCAGCAAAGTAAAACGCAAAAGAAAGAAAGAGAAAAAGGCAGCTCCTTCAACGCCACTAGCTGTCTCTGATAACAGCCCTCAAAAAACTCAATCAAATGAGATTGTGTCAGCAGAAGGTTTAAAAGTGGTTGTTGTGCCTGGTGGCATGACTCTTGAAGAGGTGAGTCATATACCCTACCTTATTTAAACAGCATCCGATCCGCAAAATTCACAGCCTCTCTTTGTAAAGAGTTCCTAAGGGTTTATGGGCAAAGTTAGACTGCTTAAGGGGAAAAATGAAAAGGGGTACTTGCAGACCTAGAAGTAATTTTGAAAACAGAGATCTTTTGAACGTCTAATAAACATTCAGCTTAACTTAAAATGGTACTCAATCATCACCAGTGGGCAGACAATTAGATATCGCTTTTACAAGTACCGCAAAATATAAATTGCTACTTTTTTACACCGTAGAAGTGTTTCATCCGATAACCTAAGACATAAAAGAGGATCGGAAAAACGATAAAATGACGAAAATTTTCTTAACACCAACTTCAGAGGTGTCTGGATATTGGATAACTCACCCTTCAGAGTGTTTGATATTCGTGTTTGATATTCGTGTGCTGGGTGGGAAAATGGAAAGGGTGAACAGGTACAGTAATTTACGTTTTTCTCTGAATAACATTCATAATACCAGATTTCGTTTTATGTAATGTCCCAATTCCTTTTTACAATGTATCGTGACTTGCTATAAATTTTTCGCCAAGATCTTAGTAAATGAGAGAAACTCAGTCTATACCCATCCAAACAAAGCTACATGTATGAATAAATAAAAATATATTATTAAAACATTTTACAACAAGGATTCCAATGGGAGAGGGCGGAGTCTGTTGTGTCAAAAGCAATCCCGAGCTGCTATCCGGACGCCATTTTTTTGTGTGTAATGTGACAACTACCTACACAAACAGTCTATCCGGTATAGTAACGCTTTACCATCTGTTGTTTCAGGTTTTGCGCGATATCCTACAGAAGAGCTTGATGGAAGCACAGAAACTAAATCTTCTAAGTATTTCCATACCTGCCATTGGAACTGGAAACCTTCAGTTTCCTCGCGATCGAGTTGCCACTATTTCCTTTGACGAGGTACTTCACCTGATGTTCTTGAGCTTGATAAACAAATCCAGGTGGAAGGCCAAGTCATGCAGTTTGTTTTTGACCGTCATGACACTGATTTTGCCCGACTCCAAGATAAACATGGCGTCAAGGTACGCTGGGAAGATGGGTCCAATAATATAACTGTCCACAATTTGGGAACCGAAACTTCTGAAGATGAATTTGAAGATGCGTGCAAGGAAATTGTATCTTTTCTCACTGCGTTTCAGACATACACCATCCATGTCACCCCAGAAGCCTGGCAGGCTGTTGTGGAGCATCTCAAGCAAAATAAAAGCTCCTTGAAAGACAGCTTGAACGTGGAGCACCTGGATGAGCAGTACAAAATTCTTTTAGCCGGGAAGAGGAAAGATGTAGATGAATTAAGGGACGTATTGAGTGATCTAGAGATCGAGTTACGGAAACAATTAGCAATGGAAGCATTAAATAACAATCACCGTTGAAGAAGTTCCGCGACAACGCCTAGAGTTCTTGAGTGACTTCAACTTTCACAAAAAACTCGAAGTCAAATATGAAAACACAAACGTGGACATTTTTTAGGACAAATGCGAAGTTCATATTCGAGGGCCTTCTCTTTTAATTGAAAAGGTAAAAGCGGATGTGTGGCAAGCAAGAAGATGGTCAGGTTCAGCTGGAAAAAAGTGAAAAATGGCGCATGTTTAGGGATGAGCTCAGTGAAAATTCCATTCTCAGCATCATGTTTGATAGAAGCAGCAAGAAGTTGCAACTTGCGGAGAAAAGAGAGGATGTTTCCATTGCACTAAAAAGTGTCAGACGTTTTCTTGAACGAGAACACAATTATCAGCAAGGTTTTGGAACTTCCCAAGGGCTGTAGGCGGTTTCTGGCGAAGCACCGGGAACAGAAGCTTCGCCAGATACAGGAAGAATTAAACAAGAACTCTACGGTCTTTAAGGGGATAGCTGAATGTGACGAAGATGGTGTCATAATTACTGGACCAAGCGATGGAGTTGAAAGAGGAATAAAAATGATCCAAGATCTGGCTTCAACGGTTGAAAAAAAAAGATTCCTGTTAACAAACCTGGAATGCGAAAAAGCTTCAATCGAGTTAAAGGAAAGAAAATGTTGGCCTTAATGGAAAGCGAAAACAAGTGTGTGATTGAGTATTTTGATTCCGAGAGAGACATCTCGTCAAGTAGTGTTAACGGAGAAGAAAAGAGAAACGCAAAGAAATTAAAGATGGATTACGAATGCTGCTTCCGTACGCCAGGTGGTAAAAGCATCAAGGTGTTCAAGGACAACATCTGCGATCGTAACGTGGATGTTATTGTTAATTCAGCCAACAAAAATCTCAAGCACAACTCGACTGGTGTCGCAAAAGCTATACTTGATGCTGGTGGAGAAGCCATCCAGGAAGAATGTGACGGATTTATCGTCGAACTAGGTTCCATTTTGGAAGGTCAAGTTGTCACTACGACTGCTGGAAAGTTGCCTTTCAAGAAAGTCATTCATGCAGTGGGGCCATTTTGGAGAAAGGAAGCAGCGCGAGAAAAGTCAATGGGAAAAACTCCAAAGGAGGAAAGGGTCCTTCGCTATGCAGTTACTAATGCCTTGGATGCTGCAAAACACTTCAGATCAATAGCCTTCCCTGCTTTAAGCACAGGAGCCTATGAATTTCCACGTGACCTGTGCGCAAACATTATGATCGACACAACACTGGAGTTTTTTGAAGAAAATCCACGCTGCCAGTTTTCCGAAATTCAGTTTACCAGCACTGACGATGCAGTTGTCAAAGCTTTTGTTACCGAGATGACAACTAGGTTTAGGGAAGATTCCAATTTTGAACATTCTTCGAAAGGGAAAGTCGCATCAGAAGGAAGCAGCAAAGTAAAACGCAAAAGAAAGAAAGAGAAAAAGGCAGCTCCTTCAACGCCACTAGCTGTCTCTGATAACAGCCCTCAAAAAACTCAATCAAATGAGATTGTGTCAGCAGAAGGTTTAAAAGTGGTTGTTGTGCCTGGTGGCATGACTCTTGAAGAGGTGAGTCATATACCCTACCTTATTTAAACAGCATCCGATCCGCAAAATTCACAGCCTCTCTTTGTAAAGAGTTCCTAAGGGTTTATGGGCAAAGTTAGACTGCTTAAGGGGAAAAATGAAAAGGGGTACTTGCAGACCTAGAAGTAATTTTGAAAACAGAGATCTTTTGAACGTCTAATAAACATTCAGCTTAACTTAAAATGGTACTCAATCATCACCAGTGAGCAGACAATTAGATATCGCTTTTACAAGTACCGCAAAATATAAATTGCTACTTTTTTACACCGTAGAAGTGTTTCATCCGATAACCTAAGACATAAAAGAGGATCGGAAAAACGATAAAATGACGAAAATTTTCTTAACACCAACTTCAGAGGTGTCTGGATATTGGATAACTCACCCTTCAGAGTGTTTGATATTCGTGTTTGATATTCGTGTGCTGGGTGGGAAAATGGAAAGGGTGAACAGGTACAGTAATTTACGTTTTTCTCTGAATAACATTCATAATACCAGATTTCGTTTTATGTAATGTCCCAATTCCTTTTTACAATGTATCGTGACTTGCTATAAATTTTTCGCCAAGATCTTAGTAAATGAGAGAAACTCAGTCTATACCCATCCAAACAAAGCTACATGTATGAATAAATAAAAATATATTATTAAAACATTTTACAACAAGGATTCCAATGGGAGAGGGCGGAGTCTGTTGTGTCAAAAGCAATCCCGAGCTGCTATCCGGACGCCATTTTTTTGTGTGTAATGTGACAACTACCTACACAAACAGTCTATCCGGTATAGTAACGCTTTACCATCTGTTGTTTCAGGTTTTGCGCGATATCCTACAGAAGAGCTTGATGGAAGCACAGAAACTAAATCTTCTAAGTATTTCCATACCTGCCATTGGAACTGGAAACCTTCAGTTTCCTCGCGATCGAGTTGCCACTATTTCCTTTGACGAGGTACTGACATTTAGTAAAAACAATCCAAGCAGCTGCGTGAAAGAGGTCCACTTGGTTGTTTATGACCAAGACGTGCCCACAGTTCAAGCCTTCCAAACTGAGCTACAAAATCGTAAAGGAATCTCTTCCCACACAGTGACACCGACAACAGCAGTAAATGAAAAGAAGAAACCCAAAAAGTCGCGTGGATCGGTTGCAAAAAAAGTCTCACCCTGATGAATCACCTAGTGAAGATGACGGCTTTTACATAATCCCAGAAGAATTAGATTTATTCAAACCTGAAATCGAAATGGGAAGTGTCAGTGTTCAAGTTGAGACTGGTGACCTCACCAAAGAGGTAACAGACGCAATCGGTACATTATCAAATACAGAATTAGATGTTGCATATGGGGGAGGTGTCGGTAAGGCAATTATTTCTGTTGGAGGAAAAGAAATTCAAGCAGAATGCTCTTCTCTGGGTACCCAACCAAAAGGGTCAGTCGCAGTTACCGGGGCAGGCAAATTAAAAGTGAGGAAGATTTACCACATGGTGCCAGAAGTAATGACGATGGCTTCTATTAAAGGTTGCTTCTTGAAGTGTCTAAAAGCAGCCGATGTTGACGGGATGACCTCCATATCTTTTCCAGCAATCGGAACTGGAAATGTCCAAGTAGGCGTAAAAGAAGCAGCCAAAGAGATGTTAGCTGCAATTGCCAAATTTTCTCAGGGACAGCCAAACTCACTTCATCTCATACGAATCGTCGTCTATCAAACACACATGTTTCATGATTTTCGCAGTGCAATGCAATCATGTGTCTCTTCGGCGGAGGGAGGGCAAGGTATTTTGTCCAGGATGGCTGATCTGCTTGGATTTGGAAAAAGTGGCTCCCCTGTGTCAGTAAAGAGGGGAGGTCAAGAAGTTGGCAGCTACTTAGAAATATTTGCCGGAACCAAGCAAGACATCAAAAGAGCCGAAGACGAAATACAGAAAGATCTGGCTGATAACTGCACTACGAAAGTGATTGAACACGATGCCATTAGCCACATTTCCGAGGAACAAACAAGTAAAATACATAACTTGGAGGTAAAACACGACGTCAGTATAAGGATAGAAGAGTACGTTGGTCGCATATCCGTAAGAGGTGACGCAGAAGACGTGCTAGATGTTGTCACCACTATCCTGGAAATTTTGAATGAGTACATAGAGGAAGAGCACAGTAGAGGAATCGAAGAACTCCTGTGCAAAAACACGCAATGGTACTATCAAGATGACGATGAGGAGGATTGGCTGCCATATGACCCAAGGGTAAACTTTCAGATAGAGACCGCGCATAAGGATGGTCAAAAATCGGTACTTTTAATCATTGATGGTGCCAGGTGTGAGATTGTTTTCAAAGACATGAAGGAAACTTGTCTGAAAGATGGCGAAGAGAGGAATGTGAAAAGGAAGGAGATCGGAAAAGGTAATTAGTTATTACTACTCGGACAGAACAGTTCAGGATTGAGTTCAATGTCAGTGATTTTAAATTGCTTGAACAAAACTTCAAGAAATAGCAGAAAACCAAAAAAAGCGCACTTTTTAAACAAACAAACAAACAAACGAACGGTGTTAATATTTAGTCCATAAAAAAGCGAGGAAAAACACGTAGCCTTGTCGAGTTTCACGCAAAAATCATCGCATTGTTGCGATGTATCTAAATTCTTATTTTCGGAAGTTTGATACATTTTACTGAAAAAAATACTTTGCAATTTTTGAAATACATTTTATGAGGGAGGAGTAAAATATCCTTCTTATAGACAGAATTCGTCCCATAAACAACGGTCAATACTTTGACGAATCAACAAACTCAAGATGTACCGATAAAGACTGCGCTTGCCTCTAAAAGATAGCTAATGATTTTACAAAGCAAGGGAGAACAGTGCTATACAAGTTAAGTTCTCAAGGACTTTATCCAAGTTGAGAAAGAGAAAGAAAATCTCGAGATCGTGTGTTGCCGTCCTCCATTACGACGCATTACGAAGTTGGTCGCCAAGGAAAATGTTCTAAAAGGTGTGATGCACGTGCAGAGCTCTTATTTGACTCATCGAACCCTGTAAGGAGCTGGGGGAAGCTTCTCCTTGCAGTCCTTGTTAAACTCCCTTAATCATTGGTGCAAAAACAGTGTCGATACCCTACTTCAAGTTCTCTTTATCTGATGAATATTACAGGCTAGCACGCATGCGTGCATGGCAAGAGAACTAAGTTCAATTTTACGTGCACAGCTAGGGAACTAAGTTCGATTTTATTTCTGTGCATAACGAAAACTAAAAAAACTGCGTTACCCCCTAGTAAGGATACGTTGAAATTAAGTGATATTGGAATAACTTTATTGTCTTCTATTTTACCTTTATTTATTTTTTTGTTTTATACAGGTGTTCCACTACCTCTTGACTGGTGTGTACAACCAAAGGAAAGTTCAGGCAATGAAAAAGAAGTTCATTTAGTCGAGCTTGATGCTACTAGCAACGAATACAACAAAGTAGCAGAAGGAATCCGCAAAACTGCGTCGATCTCGATCACTAAGATCGAGAGAGTGCAAAATCCTGGCCTTTACAAGGCATACGTGGTCAAAAAGGATCAGATGGAACAAAAGAATGGTGCCAATGAAAAGTTGCTTTTCCATGGTACTGCTCAAGGAAGTTGTTCAAGCATTAGCAAGTTTGGTTTTAATAGAAGCTTCTGTGGGAAAAACGGTAAGTTATCGATCAATCAAAACCTTTATTTGAACACGATGAGGGTTAAAGTTTGGTAGCTTGAGGGGTCGTGTATAAATAGAGTAACTACATAAAAGAGAGGATGTATAATTACACTGATTTTTCGACTAAAATAAGTTAAAAAACGCTAGAATAAAACAGCAAAAACATCTTAAAATACTTTGGAATTAACTCTTCTAAACAATTTCACAGAACATTCGACAGTGAAACTATAAGAAGCTTCTAAAACATCTTACGGCACAGGTTACTAAAATCCAGCAATATCTATGATTCTATTCGACTCGTGTACGTGAATGCTTTTAATAAAACTAACCAGGAAGACTGCTTTGCGGCACTCTCCCGGTAAATCATGTAGGCTATTGAAGATTTCATGGTACTGTATTTGTTCAAAAAGATGGAATAACTGTTAGATGGCTTTTCTTAAACTACACGATGGCTGGAACTTTGAGATATGTAGTGACAATCAGGACGGCGAGGCAGTTGTCCCTTTCGAAAATGGTCGCTGCCATACTTAAGACACTTAGAAAATTCTTGACCTGTTTGAATTTCTATTGTTTAATGTCGTAGTTCCTTTAGCTAGACTTTACAATAAAGTGCAATAAAATAAGACAACAAACAGATGGCGTAATGGGGGGAACACCGCTCCGCGATCGGCGTGGTGGACGACTTCCATAGCGTGACCATAAAGCCTTACTTATCTCCCCAGCGCTAATTTACACGCGCCGGATCGGACAAGTTCAGGTAGGTCCGAAAGAAACAAACTTAATACGGCTTAACACTCCACGGCACTACGAGCTGAAACCTCCGGCCAGCATCGTGCAACTTAATGGAAAGATGTAGGCAAATATTTTGTTCTAGGAACTTTATCTTATCAGCACTACGAGCCGACTCCGCCGGCACGTGCTGGAATACAATCAAATATAAAAGTTTGCGTTAAAATCAAAGCTTGGCGAAGTCGCCGTGAGGCTTAAACCGAAGGCGAAAGAAAGCGGTTAGCCCGTGTTCATTAGGAACAGCAACAAAGCCTCCAAAGGGAGGGAAGGGTGGGAATTACAAAACTTTAGGACGGTTGAAGTAATAGCCTGCGAAAACATCCGTTTCTCCTCGCTCTTCGCCGCTGGGGACGTTTCGCGAGGAGGAACGTCTGCGACTCGGCGACAGAAATTCCATACTGATGACGCAAATCAATGTTTACATAACATGGGGTTCCAAATATAAATTTGTCCAATTTTAAGTGTCTTCTGGTCGATTTTGGTGAAGTGTTGTGTTCATCTGCCAACCAGCTCCAGCAAAACTCAAATGCTTCTTCCAGAGAAGACTATATTCGAGAAATATTGACTGTTTTGTTAGAGATTCTTCGCGTTTACATTTGACCTTTGTGGCCTTTTGTCTTTTGTCTGTCATTCGTAAACAATAGCTAAAACAATGTAACTACTCTGTCGACCAATCAGCGCTTCTGACCGGATTCCGGACAGATTTTACGTCATCAGTATGGAATTTTTGTCGCTGAGTCGCAGACGTTCCTCCTCGCAAAACGTCCCCAGCGGCGAAGAGCGAGGAGAAACGGATGTTTTCGCAGGCTATTGAAGTAACCAACTTCGCAATACAGCTCGGAATGAGACACAGGACTTTTACTAGGCCTTTTATAGTCCGAGTGCTATCACAAGGTAAGCCAATGAAAAATACTGTACTACAGAACAGAACGTGCACCTAAAGTGCTCCACGAGATATGCATGAGGAAAATTATTTTTACTAGCCATACAAAACGAGCGATACATTAGAAACTAGCCTCAACCGCAACAAAAAATAAGGATTGCTATTGTATCAGTAGTTTCCCAGCTACAGCCGCGATTTTACGTACTACCCAGTAGTTTTACCAACCACGAGTAAACTTCTACGAGATTTGATAAGGGCTATAGCATAACACTGCGTTACATGTTGTTGATTGACGGCGTCACGCTCCATTAACTGCGTTTTACAATTGAGTTGTAAAATTTTCTTAATCGAAAATCGATTTTTGTGTATTAAATGTAAAGAACGCACAATTGATTTTACAAGCGCATTCATGTTTGTCTTTTCCATCCTAAGGTTGTCCCGGAATGCTATTGAATAGCAAACTGTGTCAAAAATGGTAATGAATAGTGTTCGCACTTTAATATCCCTATTGACTTTTAAGATGGTGTTAATGACTGATGTTGGCGTTAATGAAAGTTTATTTTTCTCTTTGTATGCCGATCCGAATGACGCATATGAATGCCCAAACGTGTTATTGAATGTTGATTAAAATGCGAAAATCGTAAGTGGGTCTCATTTATGCGCAAATATTCGTATTTTCGCGCTAATGAATGTATCTTCGCATTATTGGTAGGCGTTTCACGCAAATGATTGCGGATTTTCTCGTAATGAACGGCAAAAGGTGTATGTAATTCTTAATGTTGTATAATGCAAAGTCTTACATCAAATATTTCTGAAAATTATGGACATATTTTCAAAGTTGAATAAAATTATTATTATCATTATTATTATTATTATTATTGATATTATTATTATCGCAAAGCGAAGCAGAAACACGAGTCGACTTTATACACCTATTTCAATTAAGGTTGCTCCCGTGAACCATGTTTCATGGCCTGCAGTGCACCATGGTAAACCCTTTTGTAGCGGGAAGTTCAGTCTTGCTCACGTTCATTGAAATAATGGAGACCATTTGTGAGGAGGCGTTCAAGAGAACTTTCAACTCAAACGGCTGCGAAAATGCTTAAGCACGAGCGACCTAAATAATTTCATTTTTAAAATCTCACAGCAAGAAATTAGAAGCCTCTTCCTTTAACAACATTAATCGAATAGGGTTTTACCGCCTGATTAAGCTGCGCAGTTTTCGATGGGCAAGAATGCTGGCTTTTTTTATTTAGTTTTAAAAAAATTGCCTCAAAAGTAAATAAACGCGTGATATTGAGTTATTTATTGTAGTTCAATAATCTTTTTTACGGAATGATTTTAAATACAAAAAGAAATCACAACTCCTTTTGAAGAAATTTCCCTGCAAGAACTAAACAAATGCCTTCAAAAGTTTTATTTGTCGGCAAGAAAAAGCGTCGGGCCGCGGCCGTTTGGTCATTGTGCGCCAAAATTATAATCGTTGGCAACAGTAAATGAGTTAAAAAAAAACTTTGGCATAACCATCGTTTTCGATTTACTTACACTATAGCCCCAAGAGAAATTGAAAACAATGCTTAATTGGAAAAATTTTTGAAAATAGTATTTTTAAAAAATGGTACCTATTGAAGAAGGCCTATTGCTGATAAGTGAATGATAAAATCTTCTTTCAGCCGTTGTCTATGGGAATGGCGTATACTTTGCTCGAGATGCCTCCTATTCCACACAATTACGATATTCTCCAGCAGATGCAAATGGCGACCGCTATATGTACCTTGCTCGTGTTCTGGTGGGTGAATATGCGGCTGGACGACAGGGGATGATAACTCCCCCACCCAGAGGAAGCGACGCTACTGATGCATACGACAGTGTTGTAGACAACCCCGCAGATCCAAGCATATTTGTCGTCTTTTATGATAACCAGTGCTACCCAGATTATCTTGTTACTTTTAAATAAACCTGAGAGTTAACGGTGCGTATACATTACTAACTATTGTAATAGGGCAAAGGTGGAAGTAGTAGTTGCGATAGTCTCGATATAGTGAAAGGTTTTAGAGATATGTAGATGGTTTCGCGGCAGCTCTCCAAACAGGCGCCTTCACAATGAAGCGCGAGTGAGACTGCCACATTTTTAACCCCCATGATGTTCTTTTGACGTTCTTTTTTCGGTGCTAAGCAAACAGTCTGTAGTTTGTACTGTAGTTCTTAAATGAACAAATTCTTCCCCATCGCTTGGCACCACAAAATGACTTCCTAAAAATGCGAAGAGTAACAACTCTAAGTCGCCGTTTTCAAATGATGAGCAGGTCCTTAAAATACTGCTAGTGACTAGCTGATATAAATGCAACGATAGCAGTAGATTGCCTTGCGTCCAGTCTGGAAGGTCCACAGAACAACTGAAGTGGCGTCACATGATGAGCTAGCGCACCCTTTTTTGCTTGCTTGTAAGTTACTATTGCTTTTCATTTTTATACTCTTTCAGATAGAAGAGAAATTTAAATAGTCTTTCCAACCATGGGCAAAATTGCCCTACAATCAAAGTTTTGTCTTCTGCAATGTGTAATCTTCAACTTCGACTTGATATTATTTTTGTATTCTTTTCACTGTTTTTGCTAGGTCGCATTCACAAACTCTCAGCGAACGACCTATGACTTTCTGAGAATCAGAATATACCATGTGATTCAGTAATTTCAGTTTTTCAGGCGGAATTTGCAAAGTTTCATTATCTTTTTTATATATATATATATATATATAAAGAGTCTCTGCCAATTTACATAGTTGCGAGTGACACCACCTCACATATTTTGGGTTTTGATAACATTAACTTTGAATTAAGAAATAATTAGGAATGCCAAGTGTTATTATACAAATAGCTGCTAGTTAACGTCGTTTGCTTAACCATTATATTCCATCTTCCTTTATGTTAGTGTAGGCGGTATAGTCGAATAACTCCAGACCGGCCACCATGAGGACAATGGAAAGTTGCCTTTGCAGAGAGCTTTTCAACAAACCTAGACGGCGGAGGTGGCGGAAATGTAACTTAAAAAGTGTATTCGCGCTTTTTCAAACCTCATTGCCGTTATTCCAAATCGGTCAATTTGTCAAATCTCGGTGAATTTTTCTAGAGTTAAGTTCTAAAAGACATTGGGGCCGTTTATACGAGAGAAAATAAGCAGCGGCTTACGTAAGACGCAAAAGGAACCATTTCTACGATTACGGCTTACATAAGACGCGAACTGCTGGTATAAATGGTTCACGGTTTAGTTCGCCGGTAGACCGGTCCAATGATGACGTAGTTTGTTTTTGTACCTCGCATGATTTTCAACAAGGGCTCGAGCGACCAAAACTGCGAAACGACTGGCTTCGGTCAGGAAACCGCCATATTTTACGCTTTTTTTTTCTTTCAAATTTATATTTCGATCACGATTACTGAGTGGGGCTGTTCGGCTAAACTTTTGCGGAAACCTAGACGAAAATTTCGTCAGCGATCAATCGGGTGGTCTGAAAGAAATGTTCCAGCAAATGGATGAGGTGGAGTTTAGACAATATTTTTTGCTCTCTCTAGCCTGTTCCAAGCGTTCAGATAGTGCGCTCCCCACTATCTGAACGCCTGGAACAGGCTAAGCTCTCTCGTGAAGCAGATCATTTTCCCGCCACTGCAGCGCGTGTCTCTCGGCTATGAAGGTCTAGGATACAATTGAAAAGAGAGCATGCGCAGCATTTGTTCACCTCTTCAGCAAAGTCGCGCACAACGATTGAGTGCATTAACGAACACTTTCACGTCCAAGGTAAGCCATGACCTGGATAAGCCCAGCCCAAACTCCTCGGCCAGGATAACCTGCGGCTTCAGCTGGCCGTGGGTCGAATAAACCGTGAACCTGACTGATTTTGTGCCATTTACAAGTGGTGTTCGCGTCTTATGTAAGCTGCCGCCAGGGTACGCCGCGCTTATATTCTCTTATATAAACTGCCCTATCATCTGATTTAAGAAAAAGAAAGAGAAAACTGTCGCCTTGTGTACTCGTTCTTCAAAAAACGTGAAATTAGGAAGTTCCACGTCTTGGTCGTGCAACGACAGTAAAGAAATGTACACAAAAAACGTTATGCACGTTCAAAATTGTTCTTCTTTTAATCTAAAGCTATCGCTTTCTGTGGTTATTGTTGCCGTTACCTTTGCCGTAAACCTTTCCAGGGTAGAACAGTAACCCTTCCAGTAGGGTCAACGTAAGCGAGCGTTTGCAGTTATTTCGAGAGAGGTTGTCGGAAAAAGTGTGCAGACGACAATCCCGACAGGTAATATGGGATATGATCAATACACTGTTCCTGACACTGTAACTGTCTAACCTACGTTTGCTGCTTTCCTTAAGCACTTGCAAACATAAGTCCATGGCCTCGCGTGCCATTCTTTCAAATTTCAATGAGGAACAGTGAGCTCAAACCAACCAACAATACCTATCGGAATTGTCACGGGCACTTTTTCCGACAACCTTTCTCGAAATAGCTTAAATGCAAAAAACTTGACCACATTGACGAGCTAACAATGCTCGCGCATGCTCTATATGTCTCGCCTTGACCGAGTAGACCCGGCTGGGTAAGCCAAAGTGTTTATGTGGAGAAAAGTAAGCCCGGCTAGGAGTTTAACCCTACCTCCACAATAGGGTGACCCGCCTAGCCGGGTCACCCTTCTAGCCGAGCAAACTTTCTTGTTTCTCATGTAAACTGTTCGCCACGTTTTGTAAGGAAATGAATGAAAAGTTGGCTCGCCCAGGGGAGCTCGGGCAGGCGGGTGACTTAATGCTTCTTTTTTTCAATACCTTTTAATTATTGGCCATTTATTGACTTTTACAAATTGTTAGCCTCCGTTGTATTTTTGTTTCACGACAATGACGGAGCAAACAAGTTTGCAACTTAATTTACCCTGCAATTATTACAGTAGAAGCTCTCTTAACCGGACACCCTCAGGGATCACAGACCGCAACTGGAGCTGCTAGCCAATTAGGGAGTGGTTTTGTAAAGCGGAGAGTTCAAACGGAGTGTTGTGAAGGCAGTTGTGAGTATAGCAAGGGCTGCAATTAATTTTTCATTTTCAGAAAGGACCTATGTCTGACCGGCTCAGACAAACCAGAAAAGTTATGGGCTAACTCTAAGTTAAAAACATTGACATTTTACAGCTATGAATATGTTCAAGCTCAAAAAATAGCCGAACGGTTTGATCGGTCCGGTCATCATATTCGCGTCCTACCCCGAGGAATTTGGTTGGATATGACCAAGTTGAGTCGGACATTATTCGATGATCGACTTTTAGTTACAGCTTGATGAGCCCGTTGCAGTACTTGGATTGGTCACGTGACTGGATACCACTTAGCAACGGCTCGCTGGATAGCAAACCATCCAAGCGTTCATTTAAGATCACAAACCTTTTAGTGCGATTGGGTGGAACCTTAATACATGTAGGTTAATTCAAACGTCATTTGGGTTCATTATCAACAAAATAAATTAGGGATGCTCCGCTCGATCACAATCAAAGCTTGGATGGCTTGCCATTCAGCGAGACGTTGCTAAGTGGTATCCAGACACATGGACACGGCCAAGTTATTCAAAGGGCTTATTTGGAAACTGTCCACTCACGAGGGTGTTCGTAATGAGAGCATAGGCTGCATCTCTATAACCAAATTAGTGGTGTCCTATTGCATGCAGTTGTCAGTGAATACTCATGTAAATTTTAGTTCTTGGACATCCAAATAAAGTCATTGTTTAGTTAAATTTTTGTATTAATTTTGTTGACTGAAACTGAAAATCGTTACTGAATTTGTCAGCAATACGTGGCTTGACATGGTCGCTTGCAACCTTGGGGGAGGGTGATTGAAATTATGGAAAAATGCAAAATGTCAGTTGAATTTGGGGGATTTAAAATTATGGGAATAATTAGTAGCAAAATATATCTGAGCTCATTAGCGGACCTAACTGGTTGAAGGGTATATCTTCTCTACTCTAATAAGCCCATTTCCCCCAAAAAAACAACCCGTCCCTCCTTAAATGGCCGTTGTGGAGAGACTCGGCACTTAAGTAGCAGTTGCCGTTGTGGATAGATGGCTGTTGGCTAAAACAGACTGAGGTAAAGGTATGGAGCCCGTAAGCCACCGCGATCGACCACTTATGGGGATGACAGTTTCACAATTTTCAATTGCGTTTTTAACCTCTTGTAAGCGATCACCGAATGGATGGTCTGATATCTATTTTCGATGTATGTGCAATGCTGCTCACAAACGTTTATTGATAACAGGGAACTACACATATATGGGAATATAGAAGATGATGCACTATAAAGTATATTAACCTGGATTTCCGGCTCGGAAGAGACTCCTGTGGTTCGATTCTTGTAACTGTAAATCAACCTCGTCTTCAGCGTGCTTTTCCAAGCCAGGGAGAAGCGCCCTGGGGACGATTTTCCTTGTAAATCTTTGCATTTTTGGTGGTCGCTTACTGGTGGTTTGACTGTATTTTCATGTCTTTAATAATTTAGTAAGTAGTTTCCCTACATTAACTATGGTATTCAATTGGTGCCGGAAACTGTTTCTGCATGTTTTAACTGCTTCTTCGTCACAATAAAGCGCTTTCCACAAAAACCTTCTTCAATTAAGGTTCAGAATTACAATAGAGTATAGTTAGTATATAAAGCAAAGAAAAATATTTGGCTCGAATTTTTAAAATTCGCCTTGAAGTTTAATGCAAGGATAAATTGTTGACTTTTCCGTGTGATTTTAGCAGCTGGATGCATTGGTTTTCCAAATGCAGCTGGAGGAGAAAATTTATACATAAACAAACATATGGCCTCGCGTGCCATTCTTTCAAATTTCAATGAGGAACAGTGAGCTCAAACCAACCAACAATACCTATCGGAATTGTCACGGGCACTTTTTCCGACAACCTTTCTCGAAATAGCTTAAATGCAAAAAA